GACGGGAAATAACTCGAAAATGTCCTTCGTAAGGCTGTTGTAACGGTTTACGTACCGCATCAATTCGAATGAATACGTGCGAACAAGTTAGGAGTTCAGTGGGTATGAACACCTTCCGTTGCTGTATTCGAGTTTGTGCCGGAGACAAAGATTGCATGAACGTAGACAAACGTTGCACGTAGTCTTGTATTCCAATGGAATCCATGTTGCCGTCATGAAAAATTCTCCAGGCAGTCGTTATTTAGTGCCGAAAACCAGCTCAGCAGCTGTACATTGGATATCTGCCTTTACGCATGTTCTGATGCCCAACAGAACAAGAGGTAACGTCTCGTACCAATTAGGGTTCTCGTGTGCCCGAAGGGCACCCTTAAGGTGACGGTGAAAACGTTCGAATAGACCGTTAGATGCTGGATGGTTAGCATCTTACACATACACCTGAGCGGAAGACCGTGCTCAGTAAAACAAAGAGAAGTAAAACAAAGAAATACCACAGTTGGAGTCAGTGTTGATTGTGAAGAATATATGAACGGTAAACTTCCTCGTGGATTGCTCCTTTTCGTCGTACAATCATGGTCACTACAGCAGCCCCCCGATAGAAAGCAAGCAAAAGACAGGCAATCGTTAGCGTGTGACCGTGCTGGAAGACGTGGACTGGCAGAATCGTTGGTATGTATGGACTGTTTTGCATCAGTCAAACATCAGCCAGATTTGTTGCATCGGATGTTAGCATGGGAACCATATTGACGCATCCTCAATCGTTCATTGAGTGATGCACACCATCCGAATCGTTAGTTGCATCATGGTGTCATGTGGCTCTCGTCGTTTACAGTGTCCGTGATCGTTGGTGTGCCAGAATGAACGAAGTAGACCAGTTATTGTTCATGTATAAATAAACCCAAAAACGCCTTCAGGTCTTTGACTGAGGATGGTAAAGTGTACTCTCTGATAGCACGTACTTTATCCTCGCATGGCAAAATACCTTCATATGTGATCTTGTGGCCAAGGAAAATCAGTTCCTTTTTGCCAAGCTCACATTTATCGGGAATAACCTCAATGCTATTATCAGATAAACGTTGAAATAGCAAGGTCAGATGGTGATAATGTTCATCTACATTGGAAGAGACAATAAGCGAATCGTCAATGTAAACGTGAACAAAATCTGAATCTCGAGTTATATTGCCGATAAACCTCTAAATGTAAACGTGAATAAAATCTAAGTCTCGAGTTATACTGTAAATAAACCTCTGGAAAGTTTCGTTTCGCAAACCAAAAGGCATACGTAGGAACTAAAACAGACCGAAAGGAGTCGTGACAGCAGTCTTTTCGAAATCTTCAGTGGCGACCAGGATCGGATGATAAGCTCGTACCAGATCGATCTTAGAAAAAATGATCTTGCCATGAAGTGAAGCCGTAATGTTGTGTATATGCGGGATGGGATAACTATCGAAACGAGTCACTGCGTTAAGTGACCGATAGTCACCACATGATTGCCAGCTAACGCTGTCTTTTTTAAGAACCATGTGTAGAGGAGAGGCCCATGGACTACGAGACGGACGTACAATACCCTTTGAAAGTAACGTGTCGAACTCACTCTTAGCAAAAGCTAGTTTGTCCGGTGCCAGTCGGCGAGGTCGTGCCGTGACTGGTGGACCCTTAGTGACTATGTAGTG